CCCTGTATGAAATGACAGACTATGGACACCCCCATGGATGGCCTCATCCTCCCTGGGGAAATGAGGGGATATTGGGGGTGTTGGTGGGGGGCACAGGAGGAGGGGAGGGAAACGGAGAGGGATCTGGAATTGACATGTGAAACAACCTTGTTTCTAATTTAAATTTAAATTTAAAAATAAAAAATATATACATAAAAGAAAAATTGGTGAAAGTAGTTATATTAGTTAGGTTACACCAAGCTACATTAAAATATTTTTTAATTCAATAATTTATCTGTAACATTTATTTCTTGTTCATACCACACATTCCTGTCAGATCACCTACAACTCTGTTGTCACTTTCACTCCAAAATCCAGGCTGAAAAAAACATTTGATAGCTAAGACATTACTGATCTTATGGCAGAAGAGAGTTGAATTACACAAACCTTAAGCATTTCTCCTAAGTAGGGTATATCACTTCCACTTGCTTTTTACCAATATAATCACATGCCAATTCTGCTATCTATGGAATAGGATTATAAGCCTACACTACGTAGGAGGACCCATGGGAAAAATAGCAAGCACTTCATGTAATAATCTATATGTGGTGGACAAGAGGCTGTATTTCCCAGCAGTCTCCCACCTTGAGAAGCACAGCATAGAATAAGACTCCATAGTTGAACTCCCCAGTAAGCACAGCATTTTGCACTGGAACCCAGGCTAATGAAAGTTAGCATCAATAAAGTCCTAATGGCCACCACCATCAGGCCTGTGCCTACAGGCAGAAACTCTGGATGTGCCCCAGTGTCAAATAAGACAAATAACCCCGGTGAGTTGACTTTCTATTCCAGATGACTTTACCTGTGGCAGGTTGCAGCAGCCTTAGACAAGTCTACAGCATCAGCAGACAGTGAAAATCAACGTGGGTCTTGGTGCTGCCTAGTAGTGTGCGGGCTATGGGCTCAGCAGGCTATGGGCTCAGGGGATGATACAATATTGCAGTGTTTATGATCACAGAAATGGCATATAAGACTGGAGCTTGTTCCTCCACAATGATTCTGTCAGAACTTAGCATAATCAAGGACACTCTGTGACTGCGAATGGCACGTTTTAGCCTATGTAGGTAGGAGGAAATTGGTTATTAGGATGGATTATCTCTAAAGTGTTCCTGGAATTTATGCTGCATAGTCTACCATTGGCAGATTTGGGGAAAATCTGAGCTTGGGTTGCCCTCTAGTGCCAAAACAGTAAGAGCACACCATAGCAGACAGGAAACCCAATGGTACAATCTAGTGCTGAAATCGCAGAAATAATAGAGAAACTAAGCAGCCTGTTAGAATTTAAGGGAAGACAGGCACATAAAGGCCTTAATCTGCAGATGACACTGAACATCAACAAGTATCAAGGATTTTCAGGGAGTCAGGTATAGTAGCATACATTTATAGTCTCAGTACTCAGGAGGCTGGGGCAGGAGGTTCATAAATTCTAGGCCAACCTAGACTGAAAATTATAGCAAGCCCCGAGTCAGAAGAAAAAGAGGAGGAAAATGAGGAAGAGGCAGAGGAGGAAGCAGAAAGCTCTCAGGGAACAAGGATTTTACTTGTCAAATAAGGCATGAGAAACTGACAAGATAATAAGCAAAGTGCTTGAATTCTGGGAACGTAAAAGGAGCTCAATGAGCTTCAAGAAAGCATTGAAAATAATTGAGTACTTTGACAGAGAAACTTAACAGAACAATGGAAATAACTACCACAGAATTCCTTGATCTGAAAAAAAAGGCTTAGTGGCATGTAAAATAGGAGGAATCAGTAGCCAAATAGATTAAAATGGAATGTAGAAGTAGGGAGTTTGAAGACAATGTGAGAATACACAGCAGAAGAGAGTGGAGATGAATGTTTCCAAGCTTATGAAACTTTCAGACAGTATTTAAGAGGACGAACATCCAGGTGTAATGGATAGGTTTTGCTACCCCATCTTCAGTGACAGCAGTTTTGTTGCTCTTCCTGTGTGGATTGCAGACCAGCAGATCCCTGAAAGCCTCAAGGCCTTCAGTAGCAGGTTGAGACTGCTGTGACACCAGCTTTATAGACTGAGTCACCATTGACTTCTCAGATTCTTCAGACAGGAATTGCTGTACTGCCCAATTTCTGATGTAAAAGCCATTCCAGTACACACACACACACACACACACACACACACACACACACACACACACACACACACGAACACTCTATCTTTTCTTCTCTTCTAGAGAACGCTACCTAATATACCAGGTTATTGGAGTTCAAGAAGGACATGAGAATGTCATAGAAGTCAAAAGCTTATTGTAAAAGATCATAACAGAAAACTCCCTAAATCTAGGGAAGGATTCAAATATTCAGGTACAAAGATCCCCAGTGAAATTTAACCTAACCAAGTATATCCCATAACAGTGAAATTATGCTCTCAGAGGTAAAAGATAATGCCAACATGAATAGGGTAATTTCACAAGGTCCATCTCATGATGAAGAGCTACAGGCAGTCAATGGTTGCTCAGAAGAAAATTCAGTATATTTTAAAGGATGAAGCCCCGATGCATGTGTATCTAATCTGAGGTGGTCATCCCTAAAAACACATACATATGGTCAACTGTAAATGGACGTATTAGATTGTGTGTGTACATGTCTATGCATGTCTGTATATGTGTGTTAAACAATAATTAAAGAAGGGGTCATGAATATGAAAGGTACTGGTTGGCACAGAAGGAAGGAGAAGAGAGAGGTAACAAATTACATAAATATATTACTTATGTATGAAATTGTCAAAAACCAAAAATTTTAAATTAAAGAATGACTCCTAGTAATGGGGGGATATCTTTTGTAGCCAGGTGAGGCTACCAGTGGTGGGACTAGGTTATATTCAATTGAGTTGTTGGCCAAGGGGATCCTGTAGAAATCTCTAAACAACACAGGCTGCTGCTAAGACAAAAGATTCCTCTTTAGCAAGGCCCCACTGCTGAGGACAATACCCACACACCTCATTAAACATGGAGAAGATGAGCTGGTGCCTACATAGAGCCCTCGCCTCTACATTCAAGTCTCTTTGGTGTGGAAAGGTACTTTCAGGCTACTAAAAAAGAAACGTGAACAACCAAGCCACAAAATCTTTGATCTACCATGGTGTCTTTGTAGGGAAAAGGGTCCAGTCAAAGAAACACACCCTGAGCAGAGCCAAAGAAACACACTTTGGCCCTGCAACCAGAACTAAAGAAATGTACCCTGACCCTGAAACCAGTGCCAAAAGAACACACTTTGTCCCTGGAATCTGAGTCAGTGAAAGAAATGCACCCTGGCCCTAAAATTGGAGCCAAAAGACTAAAAAGGACCAGAGAAAGAAACACACCTTGGCTCTGAAACCAGAGCCAAATCTGACCCTAATCCTGTGCAGAAAACTAACCAATCCCTGAGCAGAGCTCTAGCCAATGAGAGCTCAGCATTAAAATCTGACCATCCCCCACCCTGGAAGCCCTATATAAACCCTGTGTCTGTTCAGCTTGTGTCTGTTCACGCTACCAGGCTGTCCTCTGCAACTCTACTGGATTCTTCCCTCCCAATCCACCCCTTGGATGAGCTTTGGGTGAAGATCTTTTGTGGTGGCGATGGAGCAGAGGCGACCCTGGGCAGAGCAGAGCAGAGCAGAGCGAGCAGGGCTGTAACACTTGCCGGGGAAACCTTCTCTTGGCAGAGCGGAGTTGTTACACTCAGCTCCCCGCTCTCAGCTCTCAGCTCTCAGCTCTCAGTTCTCAGCTCTTTGCTGTCCACTCTCTGGAGCAGAGCTGAACTGTAGCAATTTCGCCCGAGAAACCTCCTGCCTGAAGAAAACTGCTACACTGAATGAACATCCCCAGCTGGAACACCCTGTCCTGCCGGAGGAGAGCCTATACACTAGGGAAGCCTTTCCCTGAGGCAGGGCTGTAAGCAGGAAAGCTTACTGCAACCTGTGGTGGTCCTTGGCTCCTGAGCTCCAGGATACCTTTCCACCTGAGCTGTGTAACACTCAGTATCCTTGGCTCCCGAGCTCCAGGATACCTTTCCGCCTGAGCTGTGAAACACTTAGTATTCTGTGCCAGAATACCTGACCCACTCCTGTTCCATCCATTCCGATCCGACCTGAAATACCTACATTTGGTGCTGAAACCCAGGAAATGCCAACAGTCTTCCCTGCAAAATATACTGGACACTGCTTTGGTAACCAAGATACAGAGACTGGATAGCCCCAAGACTTAGGATAAAACCAAATACTTCTGGTCTTTAAAAAAAGTATCAAGAGGGAAGCCCCGCCCCAACGGGCTCTTGGCGCGGGCGCCGCAGTCTGTGGTGTTTAGCGGTCACGCGCAGCGGGCTCGAGGACGCTCCGGGCGGCGGCGGAGGCGGCGGAGGCAGCAGCGGCGGAGGCAGTGGAGCCGGGCTGCCGGGCGAGCGCGCTCTAGAGGGCGGCGGCCCAGGGTGTCTGTCGGTCTCTGCGCTGGGAGAGGTGGAGGCGCGGCCCGCGGAGGCGGCGGCGGCGGCAGCAGCGGCGGCGGCGGCGGAGGCAGCGGAGCCAGGTTCGCGGACGCTCGGGGCGGCGGCGGCGGAGGCAGCGGAGCCAGGTTCGCGGACGCTCGGGGCGGCGGCGGCGGCGGCGGCGGCGGCGGCGGAGGCAGCGGAGCCAGGCTCGCGGACGCTCGGGGAGGCGGCGGCGGCGGCGGCGGCGGCGGCGGAGGCGGCGGAGCCAGGCTCGCGGACGCTCGGGGAGGCGGCGGCAGCGGAGGCAGCGGAACCAGGCTCGCGGACGCTCGGGGAGGCGGCGGCGGCGGCGGCGGAGGCAGCGGAACCAGGCTCGCGGACGCTCGGGGAGGCGGCGGCGGCGGCGGCGGCGGAGGCGGAGGCAGCGGAGCCAGGCTCGCGGACGCTCGGGGAGGCGGCGGCGGCGGCGGAGGCAGCGGAGCCAGGCTCGCGGACGCTCGGGGCGGCGGCGGCGGCGGAGGAGGAGCCAGGCTCGAGGACGCTCGGGGCGGCGGCGGCGGCAGAGCCAGGTTCGAGGACGCTCGGGGAGGCGGCGGAGGAGGCAGCGGAGCCGGGCTGCCGGGCGGGCGCGCTCTCGAGGGCAGCGGCCCAAGGTTTCCCGTCGGTCTCGGCGCTGGGAGAGGTGGAAGTGCGGCCCGCGGCGGCGGCGGCAGCAGCTGGCGACCGAGCACGTTAGACGGGGCCGGGATCCGCGGCGCGCTCTCCGCCCACAGAAATGAGCCGTCAGTCTGCTACAGCATTACCCCCTGGCACTTCAAAATGTCCGCCATCCCAGAGGGTACCTGCCCTGACTGGCACAACTGCATCCAACAATGACTTGGCGAGTATTTTTGAGTGTCCTGTCTGCTTTGACTATGTGTTGCCACCCATTCTTCAGTGTCAGAGTGGCCATCTTGTTTGTCGCAACTGTCGCCCCAAACTCACATGTTGTCCGACCTGCCGGGGCCCATTGGGATCCATTCGCAACTTGGCTATGGAGAAAGTGGCCAATTCAGTACTTTTCCCTTGTAAATATGCCTCTTCTGGATGTGAAATAACTCTGCCGCACACAGAAAAGGCAGAGCACGAGGAGCTCTGTGAGTTCAGGCCTTACTCCTGCCCCTGCCCTGGTGCTTCCTGTAAGTGGCAAGGCTCCTTGGATGCTGTCATGCCCCACCTGATGCATCAGCACAAGTCCATCACAACCCTGCAAGGAGAAGATATAGTTTTCCTTGCTACAGACATTAACCTTCCTGGTGCTGTTGACTGGGTGATGATGCAGTCCTGTTTTGGCTTTCATTTCATGTTAGTCTTGGAGAAACAGGAAAAATACGATGGTCACCAACAGTTCTTCGCAATTGTACAGCTGATAGGAACACGCAAGCAAGCTGAAAATTTTGCTTATCGACTTGAACTAAATGGTCATAGGCGACGATTGACTTGGGAAGCGACTCCTCGATCTATTCACGAGGGAATTGCAACAGCCATTATGAATAGTGACTGCCTAGTGTTTGACACCAGCATTGCACAGCTTTTTGCAGAAAATGGCAATTTAGGCATCAATGTAACTATTTCCATGTGTTGAAACGGCAATAAAATATTTCTGGCCAGTGTTTAAAATTTGCATTTGACTTCACAGAGAATAAGGCACCCATCTGCTTGCCAACCTAAAATTCTCCTGGTAGACAGGAAACAGTTGCATGTAGTAGCACTAATATATTTAAAAATAATTCAACAGTAAGCCACTGAAAATATATATATAAACCTAAGATGGGCATCTTTTGTATTAAGGAAGGAAACATTGTAAGATATTTCTGAACTTTGTGTTTGTTGTATATTGTATTTTTGACAACAATTTTTGGGGGTGCGTATGTGTGCACACATGTGTGCACATGTGTGGTTGGTTTTTCTTTAACTGACAAGCCATCTGCTTTCCCCTTGTAAGTGAATACATAGTGCTGCTGTGTTTTTTGCTTTTTGCTTTGTATGTGTGTGTGTGTATTTGCTAATTTTCTAGTTTTTCACTAAATAAATTTGACTTTTCTGTAATTCAGGTTTTTCTCACTTTTGTACCTTTTAAGTTAGTGCCTTTTTGATATTCATAATTGCTTATGTCAAAAGTTTGTGTTGAGTACATACTTTCTTTTCCTTCAATCAATTTATTAGAAATGTTTTTAATTCAGCCCTTTTGTGAAAATAGGAATTCCAGAAAGGAAAGGTAACATGAGAGCAGCTGTCAAAGCTGCAGCAGGTGAGGCCCCAACCTCTGGGGATCCCAGCTTCAGGTGAACTTGGGTCTCAGGGGGGGGACGACTCTCCCCATCCCCCGCCCAACACCCATCCCCTCGATCTTCCGGGGGCCCTCTCCTGGCATCCAGAAGACCCACACAGGAAAGACTTGAGCCCTTCCAGGCCCCAACCTCCGGCAATCCCAGCTTCAGGTGAGCTTGGGTCTCTTGGGGGACACACCCCATCCCCCCAACACCCATCCCCTCTATCTTCCACGGCCCCCCCTCCCGGCATCTAGAAGACCCGACCATACAGAAAAGACATCAGCCCTTCCAGGCCCCAACCTCCAGCGACCCCAGCTTCAGGCCCCAACCTCAAGGGATCCCAGCTTCAGTTTCAGGAAAGGCATCAGCCCTCCCAGGCCCCAACCTCCAGCGACCCCAGCTTCAGAAAAGGCATCAGCCCTTCCAGGCCCCAACCTCCAGCGACACCAGCTTAAGCTTCAGTGTCAGTGTCCCCAGCTTCAGCTGCAGGAAAGAAGGAGACCAATGGAGATGGAAAGACCCCACCTGCACCCACTGGAAGAAGAGATGGGAAGAAGACAGAATAAGAGCTCACTCAGCAATAGAAAGACCAACATGACTCCACCAGAATCTAGAGAACCAACGCCAGCAAGACCTGAAAAGCACTACATAGATGAAGCAGAGGAGACAGACCTTAAAAATTATTTTATGAAGATGATAGAGACCCTCAAAGAGGAAACAAGGAAATCCCTTAAAGAAATAGAAGAAAAAACAACAAAAAATCCATGAAATGGAGGAAAAATTCAAGAAATAAATCTCTCAAAGAATCTAAAGAGTACCAACAAAAAACAACCAAACAAATGAAGGAAACAAACAGTTGAAGGATTGAAAGCTGAAATAGAAACAAAGAAAACACAGAACAAGGGGATGCTGGAAATAGAAAAGCTGGGTAAACTATCAGGAACTACAGATGCAAGTATCACCAATAGAATACAAGAGATAGAAGAGAGAATCTCAGGTGTTGCAGACTCATTAGAGGATATACAGTCGTCAACCAAAGAAAATCTCAAAACCAACAAATCCCTAACACAAAATATCCAGGAAATATGGGACAGCGTGAAGAAGCCAAACCTGAGAATAATAGGTATAGAAGAAGGTGAAGTAATACAACTCAAAGGTACAGAAAACATATTCAACAAAATCCTAGAACAAAACTTCCCTAACCTAAAGAAGGTTATGCCTATGAAAATACAAGAATCTTACAGAACACCAAATAGGCTGGACCAGAAAAAGAAGTCACATTGCCACATAATAATCAAAACATCAACCCTACAGAATAAAGAGAAAATATTAAGAGCAGCTAAAGAAAAAGGCCAAGTAACATATAAAGGTAGAGCTATCCGAATTACACGGCCAAGTAACATATAAAGGTAGAGCTATCCGAATTACACCTGACTTCTCAATGGAAACTAAGAAAGCCAGAAGATCCTGGACACATGTCCTACAAATGCTAAGGGAACAAGGATTACTATATCCAGCAAAGCTTTCAATTACCATAGATGGAGAAAACAAAATATCCCATGACAAAGCCATATTTAAACAATACATATCCATGAATCCAGCTCTACAGAAAGTGCCAGAAGGAAAACCTAGACCCAACGAAGATAACTACACTCACAAAGACACAGGCATAAAATCCCACTTTACCAAACACCAAAAGAAAAAGGAAGGAGAACCTACACACAATAACTCCATTACCAATAAATCAAGCACAAACAAGAATCATCAATCAAAGATCATTAATATCCCTCAATGTCAACAGTCTCAACTTGCCTATAAAAAGACACAGACTAGCAGAATGGATACAAAGACAGAACCCATCCTTCTGCTGCATACAAGAAACACATCTCAACATCAAAGACCGACATTACCTCAGAGTAAAGGGTTTGGAAAAGATTTTCCAATCAAACGGACCCAAGAAACAAGCCAGTGTAGCAATCCTAATATCTTAACAAACTAGACTTTAAATTGAAATCAATCAAAAGAGATGATGAAGGACATTTCATGTTCATCAAAGGAAACGTCTATCAAGATGAAGTCTCAATTTTGAACATCTATGCCCCAAATACAAAGGCACCTACATTCGTGAAAGAAACATTACTAAAGCTCAAATCACAAATAAAATCTCACACACTAATAGTAGGAGACTTCAACACTCTGCTCTCACCGCTAGACAGAACCTCGAGACAGAAACGTAACAAAGAAACAAAAGAACTAATAGAAGTTATGACCCAACTGGGTTTATCAGACATCTATAGAACATTCCACCCAAACACAAAGGGATATACTTTCTTCTCGGCGCCACATGGAACCTTCTCTAAAATTGACCACATAATAGGAAACATAGCAAATCTCCACAGATACAAAAAAAAATTGGAATAACCCCCTGTATCTTAGCAGACCACCATGCATTAAAATTAGAATTCAACAATAACACAAATCGCAGAAACCCTAAAAACTCATGGAAATTGAACAATGCACAATTGCACCATCCCTGGGTAAAGGAAGAAATAAAAAAGAAATTAAAGACTTCCTGGAATTCAGTGAGAATGAAGACATAACATACCCAAACTTATGGGACACTATGAAAGCAGTGCTGAGAGGAAAGTTCATAGCACTAAGTGCCCACATGAAGAAACTGGAGAACAGTCACACTAGAGAATTAATAGCACAGCTGAATGTTCTAGAACAAAAAGAAGCAAACTCACCCAGGAGGGGCAGATGCCTGGAAATAATCAAAATGAGGGCTGAAATCAATCAAGTAGACCAGGAAAACATTAAGAAGAATCAATGAAACAAAGAGTTGGTTCTTTGAAAAAATCAACAAAATAGACAAACCTCTATCCAAACTAAACAAAAGACAGAGAGAGAGCATGCTAATTAACAAAATCAGAAATGAAAAGGGGGTCATAACAACGGACACTGAGGAAATCCAGAGAATCATAAGGGCATACTTTAAAAATCTGTACTCCACAAAATTAGAAAATTTAAAGGAAATAGACAATTTCCTGGATAGATATCACTTGCCAAAATTAAATCAAGAACAGATAAGCAATTTAAATAGACCTATGACCGCTAAGGAAATAGAAGCAGTCATCAAAAGTCTCCCAACCAAAAAAAGCCCAGGGCCAGATGGCCTCAGTGCAGAATTCTACCAGAAGAATTCAAAGAAGAGCGTATACCAATTCTCAGAGTATTCCACGCAATAGAAGCAGAAGGGTCTTTGCCAAACTCTTTCTATGATGCTTCAATAACCTTGATCCCGAAGCCACACACAGACACAACTAAGAAAGAGAACTTCAGACCAATATCCCTCATGAACATTGATGCAAAAATACTCAATAAAATACTGGCAAATCAGATCCAAGAACACATCAGAAAACTCATCCATCATGATAAAGTAGGCTTCATTCCAGGGATGCAGGGATGGTTCAACATAAGAAAATCCATCAGTGTAGTCCACCATATAAACAAGCTGAGAAACAAAAACCACATCATCATCTCACTAGATGCTGACAAAGCCTTTGACAAAATCCAGCACCCCTTCATGATAAAGGTCCTAGAGAGATCAGGGATAACAGGAACGTACGTGAATATAATAAAAGCAATATACAGGAAACCAACAGCTAACATCAAACTAAATGGAGAGAAACTCAACTCAATTCCTCTAAAATCAGGAACAAGACAAGGCTGTCCACTCTCTCCATATCTCTTCAATACTGTACTTGAAGTTCTAGCTAGAGCAATAAGACAACAAAAGGAGATCAAGGGGATACAAACAGGAAAAGAAGAAGTCAAACTTTCACTATTTGCAGATGATATGATAGTTTACATAAGTGACCCAAAAGACTCTGCAAGGGAACTCCTAGAGCTGATAAACACCTTCAGCAAAGTGGCAGAATAAAAGGTAACTCAAAAAACTCAGTGGCCCTATTATATACAGATGATAAAGTGGCTGAGAAAGAAATCGGAGAAATATCACCCTTTACAATAGCCATAAACAGCATCAAATATCTGGGGATATCATTAACATAAGAAGTGAAAGACCTGTATATCAAGAACTTTGAGTCTGTAAAGAAAGAAATCAAAGAGGATACCAGAAAATGGAAAGATCTCCCATGCTCTTGGATTGGTAGGATCAACATAATATAAATGGCACTCTTGCCAAAAGCAGTCTACAGTTTCAATACAATCCCTATCAAAATTCCGGCACCATTCTTCACAGACCTTGAAAGAACAATAATCAACTTTATATGAAAAAACAAAAGGCCAAGGATAGCTAAAACAACCCTATACAATAAATGAACTTCGGGAGGCATCACCATACCTGACTTCAAGCTCTATTACAGAGCTATAGTCCTGAAAACAGCTTGGTATTGGCACAAAAATAGACAGGTAGACTAATGGAACTGAAGTAAAAACCCTGATTTTAACCCACACACCTATGAACACTTGATTTTTGACAAAGAAGCTAAAATTATACAATGCAAAAAAGAAAGCATCTTCAACAAATGGTACTGGAATAACTGGATGCTGGCATGTAAAAGATTGCAGATTGATCCATGGCTATCGCCATGCACAAAACTTAAGTCCAAATGGATCAAAGACCTCAACATAAATGCAGCCACACTGAACCTCTTAGAAGAGAAAGTGGGAGATACCCTTGAACAAATTGGTACAGGAGAATGCTTGCAGAACATAACACCAGTAGCACAGACACTGAGATCGACAATTAAC